ATCGTCCCGGCCATTTGAGGTTAAGGTCATGTCCCGATTGATCGTCGACTCCTGGATTGAATTCAGCACCCAGCCCTTGGGTGCTCCCGTGAAGGATTTCAGCCTCGGCGAAGGCGACCTGATTCTGTTCTCGAGCTCGTCAAACCCCACCGGGGATCCCAATGCTGGCCATCTTCTCGCGCGTGTTTGCGGCGTCAACCGCAAATCTGGAAAACAGGAAGTCACATATCGCACAAACCCAGGACCTGGAACCAACAAGTACCTCTCGTCATTCGCAACTGGATCTACTGCCTTTGCTGCGAAAATTACCTCATTGACGCCCGTGGAACGTGAATTCGGCGCCTTGAGTGCCCTCCAGTACTATGATTTATGCGAGGAAATCGTTCTGGCCAAACCCTCCCCCATCCTCACCTACGCGGAGGCGAAGCTCGAACCTTACATCAACAACTACCTCATCAACCTTGCCCAAGCCAAGGCAATCAAGTCTGCTATTGACAACGATGGATTCACCCTCATCCAGGGACCTCCTGGTTCAGGTAAAACCAAAACAATCACTGCTCTCATCGGCAGTCTCCTGACCGACAGCCTCGAAAAAAAGGGTGTTTCGATTGGAACGGGATACTCTTCTGCAAAATCCCCGCCTTCCCGAAAAATCTTAGTCTGTGCGCCCAGCAACGCTGCTGTGGATGAACTTGTCATGCGTTTGAAGAATGGGGTCAAGACCATCCATGGGCGTGAAGAGAAGATCTCAGTCGTTCGTCTTGGAAGAGGTGATGCGATCAACACCAATGTGCTCGATGTCACTCTGGATGAACTGGTCGCTGCTCGCCTGAACAAGGATCCCGCCTCTAATAGTACTGTTGATATGAAAAAGCTGTACGAGGAACACAAAAACACCGACACTGCGTTCAAAGAAGCTCGCTCGCGCCTAGATGAATGCAGAGCAAAGGGGCTACCCGCCCCAGAGGAGCTCGAGCGTGAGTTCGAACTGTTGAAAAAGAAGCGTGCTCAGGACAGTGCGGCTATCGACAAGGGTCGCGACCAATCTCATACCAATGTCCGTAATGCCGACTTACACAAAAAGCGTGTCCAGCAAGAGATCATCAACGGTGCCCACGTCATCTGCGCTACTCTCAGCGGTTCCGGTCACGACATCTTCCAGTCCATGAGTGTTGAGTTTGAAACCGTCATCATTGATGAGGCAGCCCAGTGTATCGAGCTGAGTGCCTTGATCCCTCTTAAATACGGTTGCCAAAAGTGTGTACTTGTTGGTGATCCGAAACAGCTGCCACCCACTGTCCTTTCCCGGATGGCGTCCAAATTCATGTATGAGCAGAGTTTGTTTGTTCGTATGCAGAAGAACCACCCACGCGACGTGCATCTGCTCGATACTCAGTATCGTATGCATCCAGATATCAGTCGCTTCCCCAGTGCTACTTTCTACGACGGCAAACTCCAGGATGGCCCTAGCATGGCTAAACTTAATACCCGTCCTTGGCATCAGAGTGAACTGCTCACTCCCTACCGATTTTTCGATGTTCAGGGTATGCATTCAAGTGAAGCCAAGGGCCACTCGCTGGTCAACTACGCAGAATTGCAAGTAGCTATGCAGTTGTACAACCGTCTGATTACTGATGTAAAGGAATACGACTTTGATGGCAAGATCGGTATCATCACGCCCTATAAGGGTCAGCTGAGAGAGATGAAAATCAAGTTCGCCCAACGATATGGCGAGGACATTCTCAAGAAAGTTGATTTCAACACAACCGATGCCTTCCAGGGACGTGAAAGTGAAATTATCATCTTCTCTTGTGTCCGTGCCTCAAACAGCAAGGGCATTGGTTTCTTGTCTGATATTCGTCGTATGAACGTCGGTCTTACACGTGCCAAAACCTCCCTCTGGGTTCTGGGTAACTCCCGGTCCTTGGAGCAGGGTGAGTTCTGGAATGGTCTTATAAAGGACGCACGCAATCGCAGCGTCTACACCGAAGGCAACATTGCCCGTCTACTGGAGCGACCGCAGTTCACCGGCTACAAGGAAGTCAAAATGGAAGAAGTCTATGAAGCTGAGCCCGAAGAAGCTCCGCAAACCCCCGCAGAATCCGTTGCCTCGATACCTTCGATCTCTCGTCCGTCCTCGGCGTCGATTGGCCTTGATTCTCGTTCGGTCTCGGTGTCAGCTTCGGCACGGGGCACTCCTCCCATTGCCCCTCCTGATGGACCCTCTGGTGGACATTCGGGCTTGGACAAATCCAAAATGTGTGGACTTTGTGGCAGTGCCGATCATTTCACCCACAATTGCGACAACGATGAAGCAAAGGCTACGGCTCGTGGACAATGCTTCCGATGCAAGAAAGATGGCCACACTAAGATGTTCTGCAACACTGAGCGCTGCACCGAGTGTGGAGAATTCGGCCACAGGATCTTCAATTGCCAGGCCCCACGATCCATATCCAAGGAGAGGAAGCTCCGTCTCCAGCGCGAAGAAGCCGACTTCAAGCAGGCACAGCGACAGCTGGCTGAGCGTCGACGCCAATCACAACTTGGCGATCATGATCGCAAGGTGCCTGTTATTCAGACGACTAACCCTACTGGTAAACCCATTGAGAATCCTGGAGGCAAACGAAAGCGTCCCGACTCTTCGGATCCAGAGGGCCCTAAGGCATCCCGCGCCCGCACGGAGAACAAACCACCAGCAAATGCTCCGAAAGGACCACGGGACAAAGCGCCAGCAAATGCTCCGAAAGGCTCACGAGCACCTGCTGCACCTACCGTAAGTTGCAGCAAACTGAATCGTTTTTGCTTACCTTTTTTTTATTTTTATTTTCCAATACTGACACGTCTGAAGGGCCTCATCAAGCCCTCGCGAGATGGGCCTGCTTACCCGAGCACAAACAAGCCCCCACCAACAGCCCCGACGCCAACAGCCCCGTCGGGACCGAAGGCCACGACAGTAAGTTCAACTGTGTTAGACGCAAATTGACCAGTCACCTAATCTATTATCTCAATTAATCTAGAACCCCAATGTTGGTCAACCTAAGCCACGTCCCCCAATGATGCGCAAGAAAAAACAAGCGGACCCATTCATTCGACCCAAGCCGCGACCAAAGTAAGATGCGTCTCGCCTTACTCCACTTTAACATACACTTTCTGTTCTATTATTCCGTGTACAAGGCCTTTCAAGGAGATAAATGTCACATGCCCTTTCCCCGAGCCTCATGATCGAAAAAGATCTTATCATTATTCTGTACTTAGCATGGCTCCCATCCGGAGCATCGGAGATAAAACCATAAAAAGAGTTCTGTCCCCACTAGGATCTATTCTATCGTAATGATCTGTAGATCCACTATCCTAAGTTCCGCATATTTAGGGAAACGTTGTTGGCGTGGGATACGGATTGTGGATGACAGGACAGTGGAGACCGAGGGTTGACACATCGCATGTCTTGCAGGAGAAGTTTCTTTCCTGGTTCTGAGAGGGGCATTTACGTGTGCTTATTCCAAGCTTCGGGATTTATTAATCCGCAAATATTCAGACTTCCAAAGTTTGCTCTTTCTTGCTGAGAAATGGTGGCGTTGCTGGATTGATTTCTTTTTCGATGCTGCTGCTATGCTTTGTTTTGCTAGTACATATTTCTTTTGTTGCAGTGTTGCTCAATATGCGACATCCATAAATACAAATCATAGAAGCGCATTCTGTATAGTCTGGAGAATCAACGCAATACTGCTTTATATATTAAATAAAGGATGAAAGTACAATGTGGTAGATCAGAAAAAGCTGCAAGGGCGGTGGATCGGGGAAAAGCGATAGTTCGCATATAGTGGCGATCCGAGAAAACCTTCCCTTCCCCTCAACACAACTCACCCAGGGTCCACTTAGTCCACTTAGTCCATGCAACAGCACCAAGTCTGAACGAAATCAGAAATCAGAATGGAGAAAAAACTTTCTCATGGGTACAGCACATCTTTGCGATCGTCTGTCTCTACCCGTCCCGGACATCCCTGAACATGATCTGCGCGGTGCGAACATCCGGATGGAAAGCTGATACCTCACATCCTGTCGTCGATTATACTTTACACTTTCAAGAAATCGAAAATAGAGAGGGGCTAGTCCAGGAAGCCGGCTCAGATGCCCCTTGCGTGTTCATCTAGCACAAGGACCTGGGGAAGAAATGCAAATTCAAGGTCGAGGTTCCTGTGTTCCCCCAGAGCCATGCGGTAGTGGTCGCACAACGAGCAACAGAGGGATTGTGCTGCGTCGGTCCTCAAAGCAGCTCCAATCATGCATCGGGAACTAGTGATGGGTCCAGGCGAGGTAAGAATGGTTTGTCAGTCCCGCTAGCTGCTGTGTCATATTGTTGATCCACTCATACGCCCGGTTGCACATATCAAGGTTCCCCTTTCGAGGGAATACTAATGATTTTAGCTTCAACTGCGGCCTTTCAGCGGGCTAACCGCTTTCCGAGAGCGGGCCCAAACTATTCATGCATCATGATCATCGAATCCTGGGACACCCCCTCGTCTCCAGGAGAAGACAGCTCAACTCTATTAAAAAGGGCGTGCTTTTAAACCCCCGGCTCCTCCCAGCCGGTTGCCTCGTTTCAGCTGGTCTTTCTTCACTGCATTCTTTTTGTTTTTATTGATTCCAAACGCCACCCTCCAATCATCGTATACATCGGTGTGGCTATTGTACATAGTACCTATCATTTTTCCAACCATTGTCACCTGTATATCTTTCTCCAGCCACCACCTCCTTTTCGATTTCTCTTTGAATAGGTAAGCTCGCCTCTCTGGGAAGATCACGAGTATCTTCTAACCTGGGCAGCCTTTTTGTCACACCGGCTTCTCTACAAAAACCCCCTATGACTCTCGTGACTAGTCAGATTTCAAAGCTGGCCAATTGATGCCCGTATGCATATAGCATATGAAAGTGCTGTCGCACCGAGTCCTATTGTTCCGACTTGTCGGCCCGATCCTCCCTCCAAGCGCAGACAATCAAGTATGCCATCCTCGATTACTGGCTCCCCAGACTCAACTCGACCCCGCGGGGGAAGTGGCCCACGACCTCAAGCTCGCTCGGCAGGAGGGGCTGAGAGAGCACCCCGCAACGAGAGCTTGTCAGATCTAGTGCGCTTTTTTCAAACACAGAACATGCCAGTTCCAACTATACCGCCAATTGGCTCTCCCGATTCGACAACGGCGCTACCCGCCGTCCTATCCCCGGAACCGAAGGAACCGACCCTTGAATTGACCAAGGAGGAGCTCAAGCCTTTTCATCGGCGATTTTTGCAGTTTGGTCGCCAAAAAAAAGAATCAAAAGAATCCACACCGAGAAATAAGGCCGACGAGAATCAAAAACAACTTGAAGCACTACAACGAGAGGGCTATATCATGACTAGCATTAAACCTAAGAGTGTCCTTGATCGGCCAAAGAATAGCATGGATCGATCTAAGACAAGCTTGGATAGACCAAAGAGCAGTTTGGAACGGACTTTCTCCAGATCGAAGAAGCAGGACGTTGAAGCTATTGGTCGGCCATGGCTGACCAGGACCGATAGCAATACCGAATCAATTGATCCCAGGCGTCGCTTGGCCTCGTTGGACTTGGATGACTTTGGCTCTATGCTTGATGGCGCTGTCTCGCTCTCAGAGTTTGATGATACGTCACCGCCACCCTATCAGCAAGCCAATTCCGCCACACCTGCGCATCGCAACGATCAGGCCCCTGGTTCCCAACAGACATCTACACTACCGCTCCCAAGAGCCTCTTCGGAAGCTTGTTTACGAAGTATTGATCAATCAGTGTCATCATCGATTTCCACGACCGAGACAGAGGGAAGTGGATCAAGAGATAATGACCCGCCATGGCCGCCGAGCGCCCTCAGTATGGGCACAGGGGGTACGGACCCAAACCTTCGACCTGTATCTTTGTCGACCAGCAGTCAATCCACAAGGGTACAGTCTTTCATTCCCTCAAACCAGTCTCTGAAGAGTGAACCAAAGCAAGATCAAGTGGCGGAGCAGCCCCAAGTACCAGATCATCCTCCTCCAAATCCACCTGGAAACCCTTCGCCGCCCTCCTTGAAACTTTTCCCCGATGTTGCCCCTCCACGTATGTCCAGCATAAATGCATTGAGGATTTCATCGGCGCCTCGATCTCAAACAACTACCAAAACGGCTCCGCCGCCTCCACCACAAGCCCAACCCAAAGCAGTTGAGACAGAAGCACGGCCAGAAAAGCCACGGCAATCTACAGAATCATACCCATCAAAGACTGCAAATCATACCGAAGAGCCGGTCTGTTCAGGCGCTCTTGGTGCGGCTGTTTCTGCCGATCCCCTTCAAATCATCAAGCCTCGGGCTGTTTCTGCTCAGGCTCAGACTCAGGGCCAGAGAAAGTCGCGTCCAGCTTCATTGGCCATGGGAACTCTTCAGGCGTTCCCTCTGCCTGCACCAACGAGACCCTTACCATCGATCCCCAAGGCCAGTACACTTGCCCCTCCTACGGACCCAAGAACCCCTGTGCGAACGGTTCGATCGGGTTCCAAACTTGCCGATATACAGCACTCCCAGCCATCTCCAATCGCCGAGGAGCCTCGGGAGGCGGAAACTCGCGCTGCTACTACCCTTGGTCACCGCGCCGGAGAGGTACCAGCGAACGTCAAGTCAACGGAAACAACTCCAGAGCGTCCTAAGTCGGCATCGCCGGAGCAGCACACTCCAAGACGGCGCTCTTCGAGTGTGCGTGTGCCACGCATGCGAGGACTTCCGGAAAGTCCCTCGGACGGCAGTGACGAGCAACCTGCCAATGATCAGCCTTTGGCTGATTCTCCTCTGCTGGGGCATTCGGTACCTACAAAGTCTCATGGCAAACGAGCTGCACTAAAAGGTCTGCAGATCAATTCCCGTGTCGACCGGAACAATCTTCCTTTCGGTCTTCCCTCTCCTCCTCCCCCATCGGCGGCTCTCCCGTTGGATCCGCCTACGCAGCGAGCTGCAGAACGGTCGACTTCCCGCAACTACACTGCGCCCGTTGAGCCTGGACCCATGACCTCACGAAATCTGGGTACGAACGTGGATCCTGCACATCATCAAAGTTTGATGCTTTCGCGCAGCAACAGTTCTCATAGTAGCCTCCGCCACGAGAGCATCCCCGAATCACACGAGCAACCCGACCGAGCTGAATCACCACTCCCATCTTCTGATGACGAGGGCTTCGGTCCGCGTGGTGGCAAGAGTCGTTCGCATCGCGTCGCTGAGCAGCACAAAGCACGCGCCCACCCAACGAGACGTGGTTACGAGACACTCGACGCCCGACCTACCCACGGCCGGCCACGCTACCCACACTCAATGAGACCCTTGACACCGCAGGGCCATAGCAGCATTCATAGCTACGACCCTTCCATGTCCCCTCAGTCACAGTACTCACAGGCAACCTCCCGGTCGCGTCACTCGCAGAGCGCCCATCGTGCCCCAGCTCCATCTCACGACCCCTATCTGGAGGACCGGATCGCCAATCTCGAGCGCCAAAACCAGGTCCTACAAGCGGCTCTCATGGCAGCCCTCAATGCCGGAGTCAAGCCAAACCTAGATCTGCATGAATCTGCTATGCCTCCTGCTTTCCCCTCTGGGAGCCATGGAAATCCTTACCAAGAAAGACGATTCGCATCTCGCCCTGATAGCTGGATGAGCTCTTCGCGGAGCAGTGATGTTAGTGGCTTTGAGACGCCTGGGTCTGCCCGTGATGCGCGGGCAAATCCCCGTCAGTTGGATAACATGCTCGAGGACATTGAGTCCGGCTGGATGTCTGACAAGTCGAGTTTCAGTGGAGCTCGCTCCATGGCCCGAAACCGTTGATGATATACACATCTATTTGGTTGTTGACCCCTTTCTTGTTTTTCTTTCAAGGATTCTGTTTCTACTTTCACGTCTTTTTCCTTTACGACTCGCCATGATCCTTCTGTTTTAAAGCCGTGACGATTATCATCTCTCTTGATATACATTTCATGCCTCTGTTTTGCTGTACTTACTTTCGACGATACCAGTTTCTCTCTTCCTTGTTTCATACCCAGCCAATGCTTGAATTTATTCGAATCCTTTGTTTATCTTTTAGATAGAATTGAGTGAACTTTGACAGACCTGATATATATTGAATAGTTATCGTAAGGCAATCTCAGCCATGTGATGCGCTTAGTCATCTCTGTTTTGGTCCTGCTCGGAGCTTCCTGGACAGCATAACAAGTTTTTGGAGATTATTCCACCACAAAAACATTGGTACTGTTAGCAGGCTGCAGATGACAAGTCAAATCTAAGATCCGAGCTATGAGATTTGCCGCGTTACCTTGATCGCCTCGAAGAACTCAAAGACCTCCTTTCACATCCTTCCCCGCAGACCGCAATCAGCAATGGCCAACCCACCAGTAAGTTATTATAGACCTTCCCATACGAAATTGAGAAGTAAACATCCAACTGACCCACAACAGCGCACACAGCAGGTCCCCCAGCATGTCACGGCATTGCTCTCCCACCTCACCTCCCGCCCCGGAGTGCAATCGACCCTAATCCTCTCCCGCAAAGACGGCTCAATCATCCAAAGAACCGGCCAGCTCGCCCCCCAAGAACCCTCCCCACGTCCAGCACCCACAACTACGGAGCAAGCCACGCTCCCTTCAGACTCAGATCCTGCGCCCGCCCCAGCTCAAATACACCAAGTCTCACAGGCAGAGGCCCTAGCCGCACACATCTTCGCCTTCGTCTCAAGCGCCTCCGCACTGGGCGTCTCACTCTCAAACCCCACCCAAAATTCAACCGATATCACCCCCCTACATCTACACCGGGCTTAGAAGGCGAATTCGACTACACCAATGGATCCCTCACACCGCGCGAGGAGGTGGACGAGAGTACTGACCGTGAGGAGGATGAGGAAGTGAAGCTTTTGCGCATGCGGACGCGGAAACATGAGATTGTCGTGGTGCCGGATAGGAAATATTTGCTTTGTGTTGTGCATGATGCTTCGCATGCGAGTGGGGGTCCTAGTGCTAGGGGAGCTCGTTCTTCGCGGTAAAGAGCGCTTTTGAAGGATTGACTATCTGAGGGCTGGTGTCTGTGGTTGTTGTTTTCGGGTTCTTTTAGCTTTTCTTGTACATTGGTCTTGGCTGGATTTCTTATATACCCGATCGAAGATGATTTTTCTTGCATATGCATTTCTTGGTTCTAAGCTTGGAGTTTTCTTGGTAGTTCTCTTCCAAGTAATACATAGCTTTCTAGGTGTAGCGACCTCTTGCCCAACTGGACTGAGCCAAGTGCGACCCATGATATTAGGGATTTATTGAAAGACTGCCCAGGTGTGCATCAATATTGGCCAGAGAAGGTGATTGGTCGAACATACGTATACAATCATTCAGTATAAACGCATCGTCCCATGGTGCATTTCTACCTCTTAGCTCCACCTTGCCGATGAATTTTCCTTCACCTACTCGGCTTGGTCGAATGACAACGTAGTTGACCAGAGAGAATTGGCAGTTCTTTAAGTCGAAGGGTGGCCCGGTCCTAGCACTTTCTCGTACCCAGCTAGCGCTCGCATACACATCTGCTTCCCTTGGTCCAGCTTGCCTTGGTCACGATACGTAATCCCAAGACTGTGAACAGTATGAAGGGTTGACGTGTGGTCTGGTCCTAGCGCTTTCTCGCGCCCAGCTAGCGCTCGTATATACATCTGCTCCGCTTGGTCCAGCTTGCCTTGGCCATGATATAGAATCCCGAGATTATGAAAAGTATCAAGGGTTGACGTGTGGTCTGGTCCTAGCACTTTCTCGTACCCAGCTAGCGCTCGCATAAACATCTGCTCCGCTTGGTCCAGCTTGCCTTGGTCGCAGTATAGAGTCCCGATATCATGAATAATGTCAAGGGTTGCTATATGGTCTGGTCCTAGCGCTTTCTCGCGCCCAGCTAGCGCTCGCATAAACATCTGCTCCGCTTGGTCCAGCTTGCCTTGGTCGCAGTATAAAGCCCCGAGATTGTGAATAGAATCAAGGGTTGACGTGTGGTCAGGTCCTAGCGCTTTCTCGCACCCAGCTAGCGCTCGCATATACATCTGCTCCGCTTGGTCCAGCTTGCCTTGGCCACGATATAGAATCCCGAGACTGTGAACAGTATCAAGGGTTGATGTGTGGTCAGGTCCTAGCGCTTTCTCGTACCCAGCTAGCGCTTTCTCGTACCCAGCTAGCGCTTTCTCGTACCCAGCTAGCGCTCGCATATCCATCTGCTCCGCTTTGTCTAGCTTGCCTTGCTCGCGATATAGAGCCCCTAAATTGTGAACAGCGTCTAGAGTTGACGTGTGGTCAGGTCTTAGCGCTTTCTCGTACCCAGCTAGCGCTCGCATATACATCTGCTCCGCTTTGTCTAGCTTGCCTTGCTCGCGATATAGAATCCCAAGTTCGCGAACAGCGCCTAGAGTTGACGCGTGGTCAGGTCCTAGCGCTTTCTCGTACCCAGCTAGCGCTCGCATATACATCTGCTCCGCCTTATCAAGCTGAAACTGGAGTCGTAATAGCAATGAAACATGGATAACCTTATGCAATCGATCACTTTTAGAATTGGAGATCATATCATTGCCAAGGAGGCGCTCGTCTGCTAGCCGCGCCGCATGACGAGAGAGAGGAGAAAAGGAGGTGTACCCAAGCGTGTTGGTATCCACTCCTACAACGCACGCATACACGCAATCCATATTATACCAGTAATACGTCATGTCGAGATCCTCATCAAGCGTTGCTAATGTCCAGTCATGGATACAATTATGCATGCTCCATGACCCTGACACCCCATCGGTCTCTAGAAATGAGTATTTGGCTAGAGTAGCCATCACTCCATGGAAGGTCACATCACTTGCAAGCACTTCACGAAGCCACTCTGGAGAATCCTCGGTGATTCCAGCATGGAAGAATTCGTACCATAAGTTTTGATTATCGAAATACGCCAGCATTTTGAGAAAGTTTGCCGCATATGGATTCTCAGCTGTAAGGTGGGTATATGTAATATCCCAGGTCGTATATAGGGTGCGATCATGGTACTCTTGGGGTGTAATCGATTGATTAGGATTGATAATCCAATGAGTCTCATATTCTTGCAGATAACGTTCGAAACTCAAACCTGTCATCTGGACGAACACTCCAGCAGTAGCCAAAACAAGAGGAAATCCATCGAGGCGCTCAGCCAGACGCTCCGCAAACGGGTCTAACATGACAGTCAGTTCAAAGATTACTTGAAGTATCTTTTTTCTGATCATACCTGACTGCACATTGGCTCTCTTCGAACGGGACTGTAAAATTGCCAAGCTATCTGAAATATCCTGCAAAGGCTTAACATGCAGAGTGTTCTGACCAATATCCGAGCGTCGAGTCGTCACTACCACAGCCCCATGGGAAGCGGTCGGAAAATATTCGTTGATGGAAAACCGGCTTGGGTCATCATAATTATCAAAAATCAGGAGCCAGCTGGTATTTTCTGAATCTGATAACCACCGCTGCACGCGCTCAAAAATGGTACCACTCTCCAGGTCTTCGAAATTTTGTACAGGGAAGATGAGGGAGGCGATTCGCCGAAAGCTCTCTTTCAGCGTGGTCATGGTCGTTGCATTCAGCCATAAAGCTGAGCTATAGGATTCCCGATGAGATTCCGCGTAGGCAATGGCAAGCTGGGTCTTGCCCACGCCACCCGGGCCAGCAAGAAACAGACGTCGCTGCTTTTGAGAAGTGTGACGAGGTTGAAGGATATCTGAAATCACATGAAGTTCGGAAACACGGCCGATAAAGAGTTCCGGGTCGATATGAGGCGCGTGACCTAATTGGATACCGGCGGGCTCATGAAAGCTGTAGTCTTCCTTGTGCCTAAAAGCGACTAATCAACCCTATTAGTGGAGGTGTTTATTACTCATAAAGTGCTTGATAAGAATGGTTGGGCAATTTGATTGACATAAGGATGGTATAAGACATAACATGAATGTGTGATTGGAAGGCGTAAGTGAGATATCCTGTCAAGTCTGCTCCTTACCAGAATTGAAGTACTGCGTTCCGACATTCCCATTAGTGTGGATCTGTTGCCCACTTCCACTATTCACGTTGTTTGTTTGCGCCCCTCCGCCACTACTAAACGTCATTGTGTTTGCGGTCGGCACTGAAGACTCAATCGACTTCATCTCTTTGATAATGTCATCAAGCTCGAGGGTTTGCCGTGCGCTCGCAGACTGGACCGAATTGTGGTTCACAACGAGTTGGACGTCTTCAGTGATTGACGCCATGAGCTCCTCGACTTTATTCCCCTTGCCAAGTCGGCGGAGGATCTTAATATATCGCTTATCCCATGTATCGCTTTCACCAGGGATGATTTTCTCAAAGATGGCTCTCAAATTTAATGCCTTTGCGTCACAACCGTCCAGAGTGTTCTCCAAAGCCTCGCAGACCTCTCCAGGTATTGCATCTTGTCTTGATCCAAGGTTCTTTTTGCAAATCTCAAGGGTATGGAGTAGGATTGGAAGCCGAAGTCGAACGACTTCGAAAGTTGCCGATAACTTTATGTCATGCTGGGCGCTATCGTAGATCTTGATCGATGCATCAAGAAGGGAGATCACCGCAGAAATTCCACCGAGCACCTCTAGGCCTGACATTCTGAAAAAGCCGATGAAAGTTTGCTGTGGAACTGAGGCCTCCAGATGGGGAGCGCATGAGGCAGCAAACCAGTGTTGTCAAAAGTGAGAGATAGGGAGAAGTAGGCATAGGAGTGGTGCTGCTCCGCCCCTCTGCGCACCTAAGCTGAAGGCGCTAAGAGGTCCCCTACGTGTCAGCAATCTATTTACAGTATCAGATTCATACTCACCTTAATTCGATTTTCATTAGCCCTGCGAAAACCAATCATTCGGCAAGCGCTAAAAATCACAAATCTATACAGTTGCCAACAGTTGCTTGCTTTTTAGCATGTTGCAAATTCTCAGCAGCTTCATGACCTTTGTGTTCGTGTTCGATTGTAACAATACTAAAGTCATATCGAAGCTGAGGGGTGGTTGGGTTTTCATTGACGCAGGGCATTTAAAAGACATAGACCAGTTTGAATGAGCCCCATGGGCAGCAGTATGCGAGGCAAAAGAGTCTTATGGATTAGTGATTGTTCTTCAGATAACTTACCAGCGTTCACATGTGTCATGTGATTTCATACAGTTAGCCAAGCTGAATCGCACTAGATCCAACATGGCTTAGAGTCATCCAGGATAAGGTTGAAAAGGAACGCAAAGAACAACGGAAACTGAATCCGAGCCAGGCAGTAACTGATGTTTGGCTAAGATGGGTGATTTTCAAGGTCTAGTGCGCTGCATCGAATGGACCAAACTCAAGGTCGCCTCAGCAAATTACGAGCTAACCCGAAGCATCCCATACATCGTACCTGGAGCTTTCCGGCAAATTTTCCGAAGAAGCATTACGATAGCTTTACACCAAGAGCGACTGTAGAAATTTGTCCTCGTATTCCTGAGGACGGAGGAGCGAATCATAGTAATTGGGGGAATCGTGTGCCGGTAATTAGTTTTATGGTGCGTGGGGTCGGAAGCCAGGTGGTCGAGGCGGTAGAGACCAGTCAGACTACGGGTTCCGGAGCGAAACATGTACAGCCATCGGTCGTTAAAGGATATGCGCGGATTGGATGATATACATGATGGGGTGGTGCGAGTTAGTTTGTTGCACTATAATACGAGGACATTTTGTCCATGTGGATGCTACCTAGTCTACTCGTATAGGGGATATATCTAGGCAGCTGACCAGGCAACAGAGGTGGAGTTGCCCGGTGAGGGCTCTGAGGGGGATAGTGTGTGATTTGCGGGTGTGCTTGGCTTGTAAATGGAAGTTGATATTGATGATAGGATCCATGGTTAAGGGGTATGAGTCAAGGAAGGTCATGTGGTTTGTATCTTCTATCATGATATGTTATCTGGATAACCGACCATCGGATGTTCGGGAATCTTTACCCGATGTAGGACGATCATTATCTACCAGTACCACCAGTCCAGTATCTGCGATAGATTATCATAGACTGTCTCTAGCCAAAATGAAAAGGCCAGTACTTAGTTACTGCCATGAATATTCTTTCAAATTCGACGTCAAGATAGTCCAGGGCCCGAGAACCCAATACGATGTACGCAAGTGGATCCTACTAAATATGGACTCAAGGAATAAGCGCCCGGTATAGCCACCGAAACCCCGGGCCACCGACTCCGCCATGATGACGGCAGTGCATGACCTGCAGGAATTTTTGATTTTGCTTTTGTTTTATTCTTCTTATTTTCAGCACGAACCCCTGCTAATAATAGGGATATGAACCAGTTCTTGTACTTTGGACGTACTTGTGCTGATTCCAATGATTAGGCATAAGCCAGCAAACTTGGGCTCCCCAGACTGCAGGTTTCCCCAAGCAGCAATGCCGATCGGAGATGGCGCCAATGAAAACGAGGCTAATCGGGAAGGAAGTGGGGATGACCCAGCCATTTGGGATGATGTGATTGGCTGTGGATGAACGGCGAGAACAGCGTGGCAAGGTCTTCCTATGACTCAAGCCGAGCACCGGGGCCTTTAGACTTGGAGTACATTTGCAGTATGAATGTGTTAGAATGATAGATATTGTATCAGGTGCATAGTTAAGAGCAGTGGCGATATAGAATAGAAGACCTTAGAATAGAGTACAAGTATAATGACTCATGTTCCGTGCGCCTCTTTTCTCCCACGCCACCCGAATTACTCTGTCGCCACAACCTCTTAGTCACTGATCTTTTTTCTCTTTCCCCCCTTTAGGAGTCATAGTACTTTGTGAGAGCCTAAAATCTCTTTTCCCCCCAACTCTCTCTCTGACTCCTTTCCCTTTCCCCCCCGCCACTTTGTCATCTGCTCTCCACTCTCTCTTTCTTCTCCGAACCCGATACTCCCTCCGTGCCTGACTCTTCCCATCCCGCCCCCAACCACTCTCTACTGCCTAGTCGCCACGACTGCCTTGAACCACTCTGTGCCTGTTCATGGTTTAGTTGGGTGCCTTCCTTTTCCTTTCCGATCTGTCTTGTTCAAAATGTATACTGCGTCCTCCGTCCCGATCGACCGTGTTGCTGTTATCGATATCTCCTCCGCTGGTTTCGTCTCCGTCTAGATTCCGACTTCAGCTATAATCATTTTGAGGTATATCGTTAGCCTCAACACTGGTCAGATCGTGACTATACTCGTGTCATATTTTCCTTTTTGATTTTGCCACTTTTTATTCTACCCTGTGACTCTAACGGTGACTCTTTTCCGTTGGATATAATCTCTTATTATCCCCTCCCGTCAACTCTGGCGATACTACACTTTTAGGCTTTGCCGTCGCCTTCCCTTCCAAAAGACGGCTTTTGTCTCCTCGGCCTTCGTTCCCGGTTCCCTGCTTAACGGTCTATCTTGAAAAATCGGATCATCCTTCTTCCTCCCGGTGTACCTGAACTTCAGACTGCCCGCAGTCTCTATGAATCCTTGCGCACCGCCGGATATGTCGGGGATGGACGTCTTGGGTTTGCTATCAAATCCTAGCTCAAAATCTCACGCTCACCCTTACGCCTCTTCGATCTCCTCCTCCGCCTCCTCATCCTCCTCATCCGTCTTCTCGCTCGATGCTCAGAGTTCCGTCTCTTCCACCGCCACAAACCCGGTCGATGTGATTTGGGAAAATGATGAGGCTCAGTTGGGGAGAACCTCGGGAGGTCCCCGTGCCTTTGGCAAGGTCGTTCCTTCCAAAGATGCCGCCGTGCCGCCCGAGTTGCGTATGCACCCTCGGCGCACTAACAGTGTCGCGACCAGTGGTCCCGGCGCTCGTCCACCACCCTGCCTGCTCCGCCAGTCCGAGCGAAAAGTGAATTTCGTCGATAACCTTGTCGGTGAGTCAATTATAACATTCTTTTTTACTTAGTCCATACCCGGCTAAGACAAAACCAAAAGATACGGCATCTCAGATTGTGGAAAACATCTGGCCGTTGTCGGCCGCAGCATCCCGCAGTGATGCCGCGACCGGTTCCAAAGGGGTTCTTCCCCTGCGGACATTTATCCAAGAAACTCTCCGTCGCTCGCGTACTAGCTACAGCACTTTGCAGGTGGCACTTTACTATCTTATTAAGATCAAGCCGCATGTGCCTGCCCATGACTTCACCAAGGAACAGCCCCGTGACCAGTCAATGATGCGGGCCATGCAGTGCGGTCGTCGTATGTTTTTGGCGGCGCTAATCCTGGCCTCGAAATATTTGCAAGACCGTAACTATTCTGCCCGGGCCTGGAGCAAGATCTCCGGCCTGAACACGCTGGAAATCAATCAAAATGAGTTGATGTTTCTGCAGGCGGTCGGTTGGCGTTTGCATATCTCCGAGGCTATGTTCCAGCGCTGGACTGACCTTGTTCTCAAGCTGACTCCCGGTGCCGGTGGTCCTCCTGCCAGTGAGGGCCAGTGCTGGCGAACCGTTCTTCCCCGGTTGACTCCCGAGTTAGAAACGATCGAACCGGAGCAGCCGATGACCCCGGTCTCGGCAATGGGCGGTATGGATCTGGGACCTTTGTCGGACTCTCCGTCCCCACGCAGTGTGCCCGGTAACGAGTACCTCCGTACGCCCCCACGCGAACAGATGTCTACTTGTCGGAATCTGCCCCGGACTTTGGAGCCGACTCCGCGGATTGAATATACGACCATGCCGACGCTTCCGCGTCCTACTATGCTCCCGACACCCCAGATGACCCCTCAATCGCATGTGGCTCTCACTCCTGCTGCGAGTATTGCTGCATGCCCCCGCCGCCCCTCCATCAGTACTGCGATGTCTCAGGCACAGAACTTGGGTTTGGCGCGCTCGACACTTGATCAGCGCCCGCCTCTTTCGTTCTACCCTCGGACTCACTCGTACGATGGATACCCGGCTGCGGTCCGTCGGTCCTCTCTGGCTCGGTCCACATCATCGGCTTCGTCTCCGGACTCGATGGTGTCGGACGTGTCGACCTTGTCGTCCCGTTCTTCGCGTTCATCGTCTGTCTCGTCCAATGCGTCTGGAGCGGGTGCTCCCGCTCCAGCTCGGCTGGCAGTCAAAGCTACTATGCGGTGTACTAACAACTCCCTAAAAGAGAGCCGCAAGACCCTGGCTATTGCTTCTCCAATCGACGAGAGCTCCTTGGTGAATCTTTACAACAGTTCCCCTGATTCTTATCCGGGTGTTACTGGCTCTGCTCCAGATCTCTCCAGTTACTCGCTGGACACCAGCTTGAGCGAAGCCGCTCAAAGCCTCTGTGAACTGTCTGGTGCTGCGCCTGCACGGCGCCAGTCCCGCAAACGTGGTCGTACCGGATCTGACGACATGCTTCTGCAGAACCATGTTCGCCATCTGATCGACGCGGGCGCATCAGGTCACTCCTCGGTTCTGCCCGATGGACGCTTGGCCAGCTCATTTATGGTCGGGGATGGATCTTCCCTTTCCGGCCCGGCTGGCATGAAACGGGCCTGCTGCGGCAGTGAAGCGCGCAAAATCGCCTTGAACCCGAGCATACGCGTGGACTTTCTGAACTAATTCGCTCGGATATCACTTTTTCCTTATTATATGAGGTCTACAAAAAGCCTGAAAAAGCCAGTCTTTTCTCCGTTCTGAATGAATATTCCCCCCCTCCAAGGCGACCGACCCCGGGCTGTACATACCCCTTCCCACCCGCTCCTCCTGGGCAAGTCGGTCGTCCTCTGTGAGAAACTAGTTGTTTCAGTGTACGATGGACGTCGGTTCCCCCACGTCATTCGTCTTTCTTTGTTCTTTTTTTTTGCGCATGGAGCGTGGTGGGCATGGGACGGTTTTCTTTTATTTATCTATTAACTCCTGTCTGGGGAGGAGTCGAGGCCGTGCTGTACTACGTCTTCCTTCCCACTGTGATGGCGCCATGGGATATTGGGAGAGTGAGGCGTCCGGCTTGGAAAGTATCGCATCTACGGATAGCCAATCGTACAGTTCTTGATGAGATTATTTGCTCTTAGTTCCTCGTATGTGTCACCGTAAATGCTTGGCAGGTGGAGGCCGAGGTCGGCTCCGAAGTTACCCGATGATTCTGTTGAACACCGGTGAGGATCGTACGACGCTAACATAAGCTAAGCCCTAGGTAAGTGGATTTTTTTGGTTAGTTCATTGCAAGTTTATCATGAGATGAGAGTTCATGAGTGTATAGAGTCAATGTTGAGTTCTTTGATCGGCTATAAGGAACACCAACTTCTTCCTAACGAAGACAAGAACTTCGATATTTTATATACTCCAATATTACCTAATTTATGCCTACTCCAATACTGACCTTCAAAACCCATCTCATGATCCACTTGGGCAGTTATGAATGTGGATGGAGTGGGACTACTCAGAGTGCAATCAGATAAGATCAGGCGACGCTGGACTCCGCCGATCCGGTTTCTCCGCACTCCTCCCCTCTTTTGACCCTCACCTTGCGACCTACAGCTACACCCTTCAACTCGCCGTTTCAGGTATCAGATCTAGTATCTACACCTAGTTCGCCATGGTTACGCGCATTCTCGGGCTACTAGCCCTCTGCACAATCCCCCTCACCCAAGCATCCGCCATCCCCTCAAACCCCCAAGCCATACTCCAGAATGAAGCACCCAACCTCCACTCCGCGGAGGAAATAGAAGCAGAAGGCTTCAACCGCCCAACCTGGTTCACATCAACCTTAATGGCCCGCCGCCTTCTGGCCAAATCATCTTCAGGCGTAATCTCAACCATCTTCCCTAACCCACCACCACCATCCTCCCGTTCCCCTCAAGATGTCGCTGGACTACCCATAGGACTCCGTGAATACATCTCGGACTGCAACACCGCCCTGCCTGATAGTCTCAGCAACACTGATAATGGCGATCCGACTATCCTCGCTCTCCGCGTCGCAACAACATTCAAGAATATCGGCGCAGACTCGAAGAACTTCTCCCTCGAGTTAGACTGGTGGGATCATCTCGACCAGGCTGGACCTGTTTACCCTGGATTACCACTTAGTCCCGCTGCGCTGCCTCGTGTGACGCTGTTCGGGTATCTTGATACACTTGAACTCGAAAGCGCCGGTGCAGGTGCTGCTGAGCTGGAAGAATGCTTCCTTGATTCACACCCCGATGCCAAGGTGTGGCTACCCGGTGCGGCAGGTTCTCCGCACTCGAGTTTCTGGGCGCGGATGGTCGTTACGGCTGTTTACTGGATTGGCGGATTTGGGGATGTGCAGCAGATTGGGTGGATGGACGTTGAGGAGTGGAAAGGGGTTGGACAGTATGAGAGTAGTGTTGGAGATGGGCGTGGATGGGAGGATGTACGACTGCCGGGTGAGAAGGAGTAGAGATGAAGATGGACTTGAACATGAACCTTAAATACGATGCGACGCGGCTGCAATCTATTTCGATTTATCGATCGGCAAATATGGAAGGGACTATTGTTACTGCGCATGTACTGCATGATCTTATTCGTTGATCTTATCATGCTTATCATGCTTATCACGGCGTCATTGAGATTGAGGAGAAGCCTTGTTATTATCTGCGGGGAAATTGTGTCTTGTGTTACTTCAAATAATCCCTTGTTTTCGATTTCAATTTGACATTCCAATTTGTGGTTCAAAGTGCGCCTCTTCCATCTTCAACCACATCCCTTTCATACTTCCCGTGGACCCGTCTAGCTCCACTCCACTTTATAGAGATGCGCTTCTCTAGACCCCGATTGAGGGTTTCACAACATGAGTCAGCCTTTGCATCAGGCAATGCGCGATGGACAAATCGTGATCTCGATCCTATTCCTTTACTAGGACGTAAATGGGGTGTGGCCAGTATAATTGGTAAGCCACCACCACAACTAACCCAATCGTTATCTCCAATTGATACAACCAAAACTAAACAATGCTCAGCATACTGGATCTCCGATGCCTTTAATGCCGCAACCTGGGAATTCGCATCCAGCATAATTGCAGTCGGCTTAACCTACAAAGAAGCTCTCGTAATCGTCGCAATCTCCTTCTTCATCATTTCCTTCGTCATAGCAGGAAACGGCACAGTCGGCGCAAAATACCACATCCCCTTCCCAGTGATCGCCCGTGCATCCTGGGGTTTCTGGGGCTCCTACATCCCCATCGTGTCCCGGGTCATCCTAGCCGTATTCTGGTTCGCCATCCAGAACATCAATGGCGGGAATGCAGTGCGCGTAATGCTAGGCGCGATCTGGCCTAGCTACCTGAACTTGCATAATGGGATCCCGCTTGATCAGGGTATAACCACCAATGGGATGGTTGCATACTTTATATTTTGGGTTATTCAGTTCCCGTTTTTGTGTCTGCATCCTAATAAGTTGCGGTGGCTTTTTGCTGTCAAGTCAATTATTGTGCCGATTGCTTTCATTGCGATTCTGATTTGGGCTTTTGTGGCTGAGAAGGGGGTGGTGCCATTTTTGACACTCAGTCTGCGAGTGTCAGCGGAAGTAAGTATAGTTGGTTGTTCTTGGCGAACATGACTTCTGTGTTGGGGAATTATGCTACTTTGAGTGTGAATCAGGTGAGTTTTATCCTCTCAGTTGGGATGTGTGGGATGTATACAACATCCCATCCCCTATCATCTACACTCGACTTGATAAATACGAGACAAAGCAAATGATACTAACATGTATTACAGTCTGATTTCTCTCGCTACTCCCGCGTCAGTCCTCGCTGGCAAGCCCTCTACATCCCAATGCTCCCAATAGTCTTCACCTTCATCTCCTTCGTCGGAATCGCAGCCTCATCCGCCGGCCAAGCCCACTACAACCTATCCGCAATTCCCTGGGATCCGTTAACCCTAATAAGCCATTGGAGCAACCGATCCTGCCGGTTCTTCGCCGCATTCTCCTTCGCCCTAGCCGGACTAGGCGTAAACATCTCGGCCAACTCGCTGTCAGCGGCAAACGACTTCACAGCTTTAGCGCCTCAGTTTATGAACATCCGCCGCGGCCAGATCCTCTGCGCCTTGCTCTCTTGGGCCCTTGTCCCCTGGAAGATTCTCGAGTCAGCAGACAACTTCTTGAATTTCATGTCTGCTTATGCCATTTTCCTTGGACCCATTGCGGGGATTATGCTGTTTGATTATTGGGTTGTTAGGAAGCAGATGTATGATTCACTTGCGCTCTATCAGCCGTGGAACCCGATCTATCGGTATGAGTTCCGGGGCTTTGGAAGGGATGTTTGGGGCTTTAATTGGAGGGCTATTGTTGCGTTCTTGGTTGGTGTTGTGCCTAACTTGCCGGGTTTGATAAATACGGTTAATCCGTCGATCGAGGTTGGGGTCGGGGTGCATCCGTATCAGTTTGGGTGGTTGTTGGGGTTCTTTGCGACCAGTGGTGTTTATTTGGGACTTTCGTGGTGGTTTCCTGCTATGGAAGGGAGAATTGAGAGGGCTGTTCTGCCAGATGAGGTTTATGAGGAGAGTGGTGCTGTTGTTATGGGCGTGGAGACGAGTAGCATTGGGGAGAATGTGCACATGAGAGTGGGTAAGGGGGGGATATGAATCTGAGAAGGTTGTATAGATCGTATTTGGAAGTTGATACACCGATGTTTGACGGTGGTTCAATGCGTATATACTTGTTAATCTATTTACATTGATCAGGGCTCCTGTGATGCTTGCACAAGCTGGAGACCAGATGTCTGATCCGTTTTTCGCGTGATTATGTCCCAATGGATGTAAGACGACTTTCTCCGCTATTCGTGGGCCTGGATCCCATAGCGCAAGTAGGCTAGCTTGCCTGGGACTGTTGCATCCGTAAATATAGCCGCCTGTCATGGCGGATCTTCTACCGCGTTTGACTTAATGGCAGCTGGGAAGACCCGCATTTCATGGGTCTGTCGGGGAGCCCAGAAGCAACTGGACGTTAACCTTGAAAATGATGATGAACACAAGCATGTGCTCACGGCCCGGGCCCATAAGACAGAGCTCCCTTAAGCACCTTAGACACGCCAGAAGAAGCCCGACCCAGCTCTCCACCTTCCTCCCTCGCACTCTTCAAGCCCCGATCAACGGCCGGCAAAAAGCGGGTCGCAAAAACGCGGAACCGATCCTCCCTCGTCTCATACATCTCGCCCTCCGCATCACGAGGCTGCCCAAACAGATTCAAATAAGTGAACGGAGTCGAAGAATCCGAAACCATATGGTGACCCGTCTGACACAACGGGAAAGGCCAAGCGGAATCAACATCCGTCTCGATCTGCTGATCAACACTCGCAGTGCTTGGCTCCCCAACACCAGCCTCCAAAAAATCGGCCAGCGCACCTAATACCTTCACCATCGGCCGTCCCTGACTGCCAGATTTTCCAAAGGAAGCCCGATTAGACGACCACCGCGCCGATTCCTCGGTGTGCCATCCAAGCACAGACAGGAAGCAATTCATCGTTTTGATCCAACCGCCTGCGCAGGACACGACCTGCTCGCCTGCGGCCTCGACAAGCCATGATAGGACCTCCACGGATGAGACACGGATGTCAGCTGCGAGATGGGTCATGCCTGCGCGGACGTAAGGGAGGACTTGGACGACGTGGTCCTCTACATCGGAGGACGGGAGAGTGCGCAAAAGTTTGAGGAGCTGGGTGCGAACGTTGTTGCTTCCGTCGAGGAGGAGCGGGAGGAGAGAAGGAAGCATAACGCTGACAGGTTGAGGGAGGGGTGAGTTGACGGGTCGGGAGGCGATTGAAGAGGTCAAGTGAGCGAGAGAGTCGCGACGTTGGCTGTCGGATTTGGATGTGAGGAGAGAGAGATGGTGAGAGAATACGGCATTGGAAGTGGGGGCTGTGAGTTGAAGGGATTGTTGGGTGAGGACGATCGCTGGTCGACGTGTTAGTTAAAAGTTCTTACTCTTTACGAAGCAGTTTGCATACCTTTGGATCGGAAGCTGGTATCGGTGAAGTTATCCGGTTTGGCTCTGGCCTTGCCGACCTTGAGTTTGGGTTTCTGCGAGGTGTCAATGGATTGATTATTGCAAAAGGGGGAGTTTGGGTTCTTACCTGGAAGTCCTGTTGCCTCTCCTTCTTTCTTTTAGCGCTGGCACCCATGATTGCGGTATTTGGTGATTTGCTGCTTCAAAGTTTCCCGCGATTTTTTTTTAGTATGGAGAGACCCACGTGATACTGATAACGGCCTCAGGTATCCAGTTACCGCAATAGGAAACTGGAGTATAGAGTACTTTGGTTCGAGAATTGAGGCAATGAATGTAATTGACCAGGAGTTTGGCATGATATACATCTGACAGGAGCGAAACTGAGTACATAAATGGAGTATTGATTTTATATATTCACATTAATGGACAACTTTGCATGTCATGGACAGTCATACCGAGTTCATTACTGATTATTACTACGCACTTCGAAATTTTGCAAACTCACTATAGTCAAAGGAGGCTATCTAATTGATATTTATGAGGAGTTGTCATAGATATACTTCTTAATCGTAAGTGTACAATCGTCTTGAGAAGCAGGAACGTGGATCGGCATCGTGGGGCTGATCGCCCCCATATTCCCCACCAAAGCTAGAACCACCTCCAACATTGACATCCCTATACCAATATTCTTACCCTTTCTACCCCATTTTCACGTTTTCCATCCCACTACATCCCATTGACCTCATTCTCTAGTGATCATCGTTAAATAAAAGCTCCATGATCACCCAAAAACGCCCCCTCCTGACCCTCCCCAACGTCCCAACCTGGTTCGAAGCAAATCCATTCATCCTCACAGGCTACAGACCAGAAAGCCAATCCTGGAGCAAATCGCTATCCAGCTGGCTCTACATCCACAATGAAACAGCCAACATTTATTCCCACCTGATCCCAGGTCTATGTCTGCTTCTGCTCCTCATAAACACCAGCATCCGCCCCGATCCGGAACAAAAGCAGCAAGACCAGCACCGCCTAGACAACCTCGTGCTAACAGTCCAATTATGCGCCGCAGCTCTGTGTCTAATAACCTCCGCGGTGTATCACACTGCACTGAACCATTCCGCGCGCGTTGCACATCAAGGACTGCAGTGTGACCACGGAGGAATACTAGCGCTGATTCTGGGGAATTTCGTGAGCGGGTTGCATTTTGGGTTCTACTGTGAGCCTGCATTGAAGAATTTGTATTGGTCTCTTGTAAGTTCAAAGTTTCCATTGCATGCACATCTCGGTCCGTATCTTGAACGTTTACTTGAAAGTTCACTCGGGGGTTATAATAATATTCTAACATCCTTGTCTATAGATCGTGGCAAGTAGCGTCGCAACAGGAATCATACTCCTTTCGCCATGGTTCCGGGGCCCAGAATGGCGCTTTGTCCGTCTGTCCAGCTGTATCGCGACAGGACTGTTTGCATTTGCGCCGATTAGCCACGCCGGATATCTTTGGGGACCTAGGTATCTTCTTCGAATCGGGGTTCCGTATTATCTGCTCGAGGGAGCGTTGTTGTTGGTTGGGTGTTATTTTTACCAGGTATGTATGACTTTCCAACCCAATGCCTCTGTTCCTTTGGTTAATCGCGGTAGACACGAATTCCCGAGTCTATATACCCCGGTCGGTTCGACATTTGGGGCCACTCGCACACTCTCTGGCATATTCTCGTGACGCTGTCTATCCTTGCTCATATGGGTGGTTTGTTGAGTGCGCGGGAATATAATGATAAACATGCTCCGTGTCGGTTGTTGTAGATATGCAGAGGGCTTGGGTATTGTGGCTAAGAGGAATTGTTATTCGATGGGTTGCTTAGATTGATAGAAATGAAACCATACACTTAGACAATAAACCACTAAATCCCAATCTTAACCTTGGAAGTTGATGCGTGACATTTTAAAGCATCTGCCAAAGCATGATGTATTTCCTTCCACTGCACCATACGCAACGCTCCCAGAGCATTGACTGGCACCATCTGTGATGGCAAATCCGGCGCCGCCCGTGGCCAGGTAGCGGTTCTCAAAGTCGGTGGGTGCGGCAGACCATTGGCTACCTGCACCGTGTCATCTCGACCATCGTGAGTATATGAGAAGATGACTTCACAATACTCATCTGAAGAGTCAACAAAGCTGACTGTCAAGTTCGTTGAATAGATGATAAGGCCCTCATAGGTGCTGTTTGGGGGAAGGTTTTCTTCACATAGGAAGAGGTGCAAACGGAATCAAGGCTGACTCTGGTTTGAAAGACAGCAGAGAAAAGAAGTGAGAAAACATTACAGGCATCTTGATATCTGATTCCACCAGAGATATTGAATTGTTCCTATCTTAAATTTTATTTATTTTCATTTTGTTTTTGTTTTTTTTTTTGGGTTATCCAACATTACTTATAGATTCCCCATGCCGTCCTGGGCTAGGATATCTCCAGAGATGTGCTATTCTGCATACACGAGGAATAAATTGGCTGCAATCACATCTGTCCCTCTCACGACGATTCAAAACATGCACTCAATAATATCTATCCATAAGCCCTGTGAAGTACGCAAACTCAAAGAGTTCATGATCGTCCGTTCATACACAGTTATTTCCCAAAGAGACAAGAATAGCCCCATGATCCGCCACGTAACTATCCCACAACAATAGATCGACACATATCCACCTTATAATTTTTCATGCACTTGACTCAAACTATATTAGAACGTCAGGTCTGAGCTTAATCTGCAAAACCCCACAGTTCTTGTACGGCCCCACGTGGAGTGTGGGGATTGATCATCTGCCCTACCCCTGATTCACCTGCCGAGAATGACGAACGTCATTTTATCGGTATATAAATATAATTCAAATTGATATTCAGATATGCCTGTGAGCCTCCAGATTGTAGGAAGCTTGTCAAGAGAGAACCCATGCATGAATATTGGAGCCATCTATGGATGATACTATATGAGCAATTTGCCCAAATAGGCTCAGCCTGAATTCCATTAACTCTGAAATGTACTTAGCAGTCCCACATCGGAGAAGAAGGGACCTACATTACTCTGAACAAACATTACAATTACGCGTCACATGCCATGGCGTTCAAGCTGACGGATTTGGCGCTTCCATTCACTAGACTGGTTCTCACTACTCTGCAAGTTTCTTCCGCATTGGAGATGGGACCGATCGGCCAAAAGGACTGACCAACTGATGATACAAGCAAATAAATTCACAAGATCATGCATAGCCAATATTGGGCGGCTCGACCGGAATGGGTTGCTAGCAGAAATAGAACAAGGGTTTATAGATCTCCAACAAAGAAGCAATATTGCCTTGTCGCGAATATCCCCACTGCGCCTTTCGGCATGGCGCCAGCCTTTCCAGCAGCTTTTGACAATTCGACACAGTGGATACTTCTCGATACCCGAGGGCTTACACGGACTATTCTATTCCGCACCTAGATTATATCAACAAAAACTTCCAAGGTAGTTTCAACCAACAAATCAAACTCACCCCGCGACCCACCCCCTAAAGCCTTAGCTACATACTCATGCACAGTCTCCATGAATGAATTCCCTCCACCAGGTTCTTTATCCTCATCCAATTCATTCTGAAATAGATTTCGCGCGGAATCAGGCGCGTCGAATAGACGATGGGAGGCAGACCGGGTATCACCTATAGAATTGAGGAGAGATTCAGTATATACACGTATACAGCGCCTCAGCTCTAGTCTGCTAGATAGCATGATTGAGGTCGCAAATGTAGCTTTTGTACCTGGTTCGAAGTGGCGGGCAATTGTATCTTGCATGCTGCTGGCGGTTTGGTTTGCGCGGGCGGCGTATGTGTCTGAGCGATCCATCCTAGTGTCAAGGGGTTCGGTAGCACCTGGTAGAGTGAGTGAGTTATGAAGTGAAATGGTGTGAGTAGATTCAGGTTTGAATACCGTCAGTGTTGGCGAATTCGCTCTGGTGAGAGGTTAGTTTCTATTAGGACTGGCAATCAATATGAATGAGCGTACTGCGGAGCTGGACATTATATCGTTAATTTCAGAGAGTGGCGCAAGAAATAAGTCTTAGGCATTTAGTTCCGTTAGTTCCTCGCATGTCTAAGAGCTATCTATAAGTAGGTGAGTATCATATCGTCGACATGACGTGATCTCGCCTCCACAGTCTGACCTCGTGCCTATCATCCATGAACGAAGTACTTATGGATGCAGATGTGATGTCACCATAACCAATAGTATAGAAGAGGAGGTAAAAGATGCACACATAGTCATATCAATCGTAGTCAAATTCGGTCTATGAAATAAAGTCCCCCATCAGGGCCTGCTCAGCAGTGCGAAGAGTAAAAAGAACCAAGGAGAAGAACAAAAATTCAAAAAATCAGAGAGATGCGCACTTCTACCCGGTCTCAAGTTGCACATAAGAACAACACAAAAAAAGAAAGCAACTTGGGTACCGGGCAGACGCGGTTGTATCAATCAAATCACACAGATCATCAAGCACACGTAACGTAACAAAAAAAAAGGCATAAAAAGTAAGTAGACAATTGCAAAGCCACGTGGAACCACCAGAAAGGGACATTAGTCGGGTCGTGTGTATGGACGAGATTAAAGGGTGGTGGCCAGCTCTGTCATACCGAGCCATCACGAAAGAGAGGAGGGTAGAAAGAAGATCGTATAACAGAGGTTAGGAGTTTAGAGACTCATGGTCAGCCACTCCCATTCCTGGCTTGCACCTTGTCCGCCAGCAATACTGTGGTTGGCAGGGTTTGCAGCTGCAGGATGCATGGCCGGGGCCAATGGCACCACCTTGGATCGAGAAGGCGCAGTAGCCTTGGGACTATCGTCGGTATCTGGCTCAGATCCAGTAGGTGCCTTTTCGAGACGACGCTGCCGTCTGGGGGCTACCTGCACACCGGCACGGGCTTGAGCAACTCCGGCTATAGGACCAGGCTTGGGCGGTGCGGCGGCGATTGGGACGACGCCAGACTTGTTGGAAAGACTTGATCCCATGATCGCAGGGGGCGACTCAGAAGCGTTGTTGCTCGGGGCGCGGGAGGCAACAGCGCTAGAGGGTGCATGTACAATAGAATTCTTCCGAGAAGACTTCTTGGAGGAGCGAGAGGTACCGACAGCCAAGCTGTTGGCACTGCTGCGGTTCCGCTTTTTGATGATATCGGTTTTGAGCGACAAGGGACGAACCACGCCATGGAGTTTCAGGAATAAACCACAAGCATTGCACAAGGGCTGGCCTTCAGGGTTGCGACGCCACAGTGGAGTGGTCTGAGTGAAACAGTTCGTACAGGTAGTCGGCCCCGCGTTGGGGTCACCGTTCTTAGACCCACCGGGACTGGCTGGCCGAGAAGGAACGGCGCTGCTGAGGCCAGACTCGGGTGGAGTATTAGGAGATGGGTGATTCGTTGGCGGACCGCTAGCAGTGCCGTTCATGCTCTGACGCAACAGCCCGGGGGCGTTGGGAGTGGAAGCCGTGCGCGGGATTTTTTGACGGCGAGGATCTTGCTCCCGGTTACGAACCTCACTAACGGAGGCTGCAGAACCATGCCCACGACCGAGGCCTGCGTGATGCCACTCGGACGGACCGTCCATCATGTCAGTAGAGCCAATGGTGACATGCTTACGATGTTGGCCACCGAACCCTGGTAATGACTGAACGGAGCCTGGGAATCCTCCATCCCAGGTCAGACCCGCGTTCATATCGCCAGTTTCATCCATAGATGAGAAGTCATGAGGCATTGCAATGCCCCCACGCTCATATGACTGGCCATCATCGTCCTCATTATCTGAGTCCCCACCGAATGTAAACATGCTGTTGTTGGGTGCGGTCGAAGAATATTCGTGGCCCAGCACGTGGTTGGGGTCAACATGCTGCTGCGGAACAGAGAACCCCATGGTCGTGGGTGGGCCATTAACAGGCGACTGATAATCCCCGTTGTTACCGTTATAAATCTGGCGAGGCTGCAGGGATGCAGACAAGTTGGAGGTCCGTTGTTGCAGATATGTGGGAATGCGGCGCTGGTTGTGAGAATCGGCGGATGGCGCATCAGAGAAGAAAATGGACTGTTCGCCTTCATAGATCGGCTGGGGCGTTGAGACAGCTGACTGGTATCCGGATGGAGGCGGAGAGAAGAACTCGGTGGAGTTGAGAGACGACGCCAGCGGTGTCTGTGCATACAGGCTGGAGAATGGGTTGCCAGCGGTCATAGGGGAATCTGAGGGAGAAAATGTGAAGTGCTGCTGGTAAGGGCCCGCGGAGCTGACTGTACTCTCGTCGCCCACACCAAAAGTGTCTAGCCCATATGGAAGACCAGTGGAAGCGGTATGCTGGTGGTGGTGACGCCGAGGACCCATGCCGTTGGTCGGCATGGCAAAACCGGCCGGAGAGTGATCGAGGGAGTAATCCGGCAGTCCAGCAGCCGACAATTCAGAATGTTGCGCCAGCATGGCGTTCGAGACAGGAGGCACCTGCGGGGATGCATCGGCCGGGCGTTTGCGCGTGGGCACCGCAAGTCCGTTAAAGAACTGGCGCTCATCCACGCTTGTTTTGCGGACCCGACGGGGTACGTAGCCAAACTCGCTGTTCTTGCGCTGCTCCTGTGGAGGGTGTGGGAATGACGCAGCGACAGATGAATCGACTGGTTGATCCTTGCGCGATTTGATCGGAATAGAACCGGTCGGTGTCGCAGTAAATTGACGGTCTATGGCAGCGTGGGACGAGTAATCGACGGGAGAGTCAAAGGGAACGATGAAGTCATCCAAGTTCATGGCA